CCGAGTCTTTATTGCCTCGCCTTCGTGCACGAATCGAATCGCGCGGATAACGACACGATCGTCCGCTAGATTCCCTCTATGACAGTGCTTTTCAACCATCCCTTGCCGGTCGAATTCGCCGGACCGCCCGGTTCGAAACGGAAACGGGGAAACGCGGTCTCGGAACCGGACCTCGACCGTTCGGCCACTTCCGGTTTTAACGAAGAATATTCGGCATGGAGAATATTTAACGTTATTACTTGAATTATGGATGATAGAACGATGGACGAGGATTATCCTGTTTTAGGTTAGGTATGACTTAGTACACTTCGGTGTAATTTCATTTATATATTTGTTTTTTTATTTATCATGGTTCACAGCTTTATAGAAGTTGTACTACAATGGTCAAAAGTGTCGCGAGGATTCAAAGTATTTATAGAGTAACACGGTTAATTTAACGCTAGAGTTGTGTCTGTAATTGTAATGAGATTTAATTATGCGTGAAAGTACAAATGGAGATTAGATACTTTAAGATAATTATTTGAATATTGTGTTCTAAGTTCTGATTTGATACCTGTGGTGTGCAGTTGAGAATCGCGGGCTTGCTCGATGAAGCGTTCTCGAAGCTGATTGGTCCAGAGATCCCATTTCCGGTTTGAAAGTTAGATTTTCAGTGTAGTGTCTTCCCGCGCCGGTATCGTTAATCTCCCCGTTAAAATTTGATTTTATAAGGGCAATAGGTCGCATAATATTCCAGTGATTCGATAAAAGTGACAATAATAACGAGCTCGATCGAATTTGCGCAATGGGAAACAGGTTGGTCGACGATCGAAGTAGAGATTTCTTTTCGAAATTGTTCGTTGGCGCGAGCGGACCTTCCCTGGTACTGGCCATTGTTGATCGGTCGTCCAAGGATTCGTAAGTAGCAAATTTTCATACGCAATTCAATTATTTTCTTTAAAATATCGAACAAGTAGAAACTTCTCAAAGAAACGAATATGAAACTCGAGAATGGGAAAGTTATGAGGGACTAGCTCGCCCCTGATATCCACCGTAGTCTTTGCGTCCCCGCGTGGAAAGTAATCGTGCCGAGGTGAATTTCTAACTGATCGCCTACGGTACTACTACTTAGCACACGGGCCAGCAATTGAAAAGTGTCGAGGCAATTTCGCCGAGGGTTCTTCCGCCCTCGACAATTGACGGTAGACTGAGTTTCACGAAATTCAAAGCGAGATATATACGCCTCGACCGGGCCAAAGTTCAAATTTTCCGTTGACGTTACCTCTTGACCAACGGTTTTCCTTATCTCGTCTGGCATCGGTCATTCGTCAAGTTTCTCATAGTCATCGTAATCGAAGACATGTATTATTCATTTATTAAATATTCTTGATTACTCGTTCGATTCATCGATGCTGTTCTATACGGTGAGACATCTGTCGTGAAGATAACCTAATTTGCGAACGTAACAGCGGGCGCGTCATTTCCCCGCCGACTGTTATGGTCACAAGTCAAAATGTCTTCCAAGAGTCGATTGTTACATTTCTCTTACCTGCGAAAATAAAAATAACGTTACAGTATTCGAGTAAAATTGCGCTCAAATTTTTTAAATATTTCAAAAGAATTCTACGTTATATGGAAATTCTGAATAATATATTAATCTCTTTATGAATGAAGTTTTTTATGGATAGAAAGAGAAAATTTAAAGTAAATAATTAAAATAGCTATAATTCATATGGTCATTGTGATTTATCCTGAAATTAATTTGAAATGTTCCTTGAGGAAGATAAAATATCAAATAAAGTACCCATTACAAAATATCCCTACGATATTTCACCAAGAGCGACTAATGAAATGAAATTAGTCATTAATAATCATTGAAACCATCAGCACAGAACATTCATTTCCAGTTTCCAACACAAAAGAAACAACTAGTAGAGCCATTTATCTTATTTACAAAACTGACTCGATCCCACAAACCTAGAAATCTCCTAAGTTTCTCAAACACGTTTCCCAAACCAAACAACGTGCTCATCCTCGAATGAATCATCAGCTTCCGCTAACATTTTCGGTCACCGTTCATACTTATCCTATCCCCTAAGAGTTAGGAGGGGTGGTACACTCGGAAACAATGTCGCCCTAGTTTCCTTTTTTTCCATTAACCCCTCCTCCTATAATGTCGAGTCAGACTCGCGATGAATATTTTCAATCGAATTCGACGAGACTGAATGTTATTTACTTATTTTTCATACAAATGAAATGTTATTTAATATCAATCTTTAACCTTTAGAATACACGTAGACGCAGAATAAACAACGAATTCTTTTCTTTTTTCACTAAATCATTAGTGATATCGTAGATTTATCAAGCAGAGTTGTGAAAGAAATCATAGGACAAGGGGTTAATTAAGCAATTGATGTATAATTTAGCTTCATACGTTGAAGATTTTCTGTTTCGAAGAGTCTTCGTTCGCAAAGGGTTAAGCACACTTGAAATTGAAAAACGGCAGAAGGGGATCGTGACTAGCCTGTGCGTGCCCATTTATTTGAACAATATTTCAAGCGCGTAGATAGATTGAAGACCGTACCAGGGCTAATGGCGTGCCACGCGGTGCGCGCCCGTATGCGCTCCACACGCAATGAACGTGGTCAATTTCACGATAATCGTCCGAACCCCCGTGCATTTCGGATCCGTGTCCGCGGTCCGATTTTCTCATGCGGGCCCATTTTACCGATATTCTTTTATTTTTTCCTCGCGTTCCTCCGTCGAGAGAGGCAATGGTCGCCGCCACGCACCACCTTTTTATTAAGATACAATCCCCGTTACTGCCATCGCTGGCGATCCATTGTGCATCGATTAGGACGATACACCAGGGGACCCTCCCCCGAGACCTCAACCTGTTAACCGTAGAAGACGCGTCAATTCCTATTCATCTGTATTCCCCGGTTTATCCGGCGAGGCATTCTTCAATCCAATTCCATCGTTCGTTTACATCGCGCGCCTCGCGAGACGCACAATGGAATTCGTTCCCGCTTCCGTTTGGCTCGGACCTTTGTGAATCGCCAGGAGGAAACTTATTCCGGGCCAATTGGACGGCAACTGTTTCATTTGGACGCAATTGCCATCGGCGATTAGGTGTTTTTCACTTCGGAGTACTTTGAACGGATTGGATTCGTTTTAGAAAATACGGTCGTTGAACGTGTAACACTTTAGTCGATTCGATGGAAAATTGATTGTCCAGTTGGGGAACAAGATCTCTTTTCAAAGGAGAAACTTGGTGTTCCGAATTTACACTATTTTGATGGGCAATCGAACCATATGTTCGTTAGGGTTCGCTGTTGGTTTCTTCTTAAAGTTCCAACGCGGCGAAACGTGGATCTTCATTGATGATCTTCGAAATTGTTCCAAGCACAGCAATGATACAGTCACACACTTCTTTAATTTCTCGAGTAATAAACGTTCGTATCGTGGCAGTTCACGCTATAATGAACATAAATTTCAGGAGCACACTGCTTCTCGCGTGGCGCGGAAGTCACACACGTGCACAGGTGTTTTCTGTGATCACGAGTGTCGCGCGACTGTTATGGCAATGATATCGGTTCGCGGTCGGACGAGGGATATACGTTTTATCTACATAAATGGGAACAGAAGGCCTTTTCGGTGGCATTGTCTGGTGGTTCTTAAGGAAAACGAACAGAAACGTACATTTTTTTACATTGGAACTACTAAACAGATCAAGGTTTAGATTTCTCCTTTGAAATTTTCAAAAAAGATACTAATAAAAACGAGATAATTGAACGTATACTAAAATAAATTACTGATACTGGGATATTAATACGAATTAATAAAATAAGTAAGGTTAAATGTGAAGTTGCGTGCAGTTTAATCAATTGGTTCACCAGCGTGCATTCTAAAAACAAATCGAAATCTTAACGACTGAATTATCGTAGTTTATACACGAAAAAACGTGTTATGCAATCGGACTGCTCGGTAGTTCTACTGTTAAGGCCGTCGACTCGGCTGAAGACGCGATTTAATTCAGTCCGAGGGAAACTCGGCGGATTTTCCGTGGATTTCCAGGGAAATTCATGATTGAACGAGGGAACGGCCACGGCCCCGGCCCGAGTAATTTAGAAGAGTTTATTAAATTGGGTAGAATGCTGTGCGTAGGCCCACGCCGGATACTCGGAGAATGAATCTCATCCAACGAGAGGAAGTTCGAATTAACTCGAGCCACTGCCAAGGGGGTACGGCAGAACCCCATATACGTTATAAGCTCTTGTCCCATTTTGTTCTTCGCGCATTCGTGCGCCGCGTACCGCGGGAACCCGTGTGTAAAACGAATTTTCGTCGAGGGCGAACAACGACGATCCGATCCGATAACCAACACCGCCGCACATACAACGGAACATTGCATAATTCAATTGAATAACAGATAAGAGAATTGAATCGAGCGTAGCCGAGAATATCTACTTAAAATTACATAATCGCATTAGATCTTTCTTCTGTTTTCAATCTTCAATTCCTCATTGTTCCAATCATCGTATTACAAACTCTATTGCTGTTGATCGAGTTAACTGACCGAGCAGCCATGATTTCATTAATATTTACTCGGCGCGAGGACGTTGGATATTTGAGAAACGAGCGAAATGTTTGCCCGTGAAGCTGCTCGAGGGGCTCGCGTGGAAATCGATGAGATTTACGCGATAATAACGTTCGAAAGTGCAGAATGTGGCTGAGAATTAAGACTTATTAGAATCATTTGACCCTGGCTTCTTATAGCGTACTAAGACTTTGATGAGTTTATTTTATCCGGTGCTAAGGTGGAGGGGAGGAACGAATGAAAGGAGACGAAAGAAATGAAACGGGGAAGGGAAGAGAATCGAGCGTCGCTCGACACGCTGTCGCGTGTTAGCGCTTCGGCGCTGCTGCCAGAGGCGTGTTGAGGCTCGAAAACTGCGTGGGCGATCGCTTTAAGAAACGAATAAAAGGACAGAGAAATGAATTAGGACCGAAGGAGCGAGGTCCGGCACGGGTCTTCGCCATTAGATTTATTCATGGAATGTACACAGCGCTTCGCGTATCAAAAATACGAAAAAACATGCTCGGTGTTATGCGATGCTATTTACTTATTTACAGAAATAACAGGTCAGAACAATGTGTGTATACTAGAAAAGACTGTACAACGTGTGACTTGTATAACACTCGAGATCATCTTCACTCCGCTATTCGTCCTCCGTCGCAAATAATGTCGACCACGCTCGGGTCCATTAAGTTCGGCTCCAAGCATCTGTGCACAGCGCTTCCCAGTATTTCGTCCAGCAGGCAGTTTACGACACTTGAAACGAAAATTTCAATTGATCAGTTTCATCCCCTGCGAACTGTCTCGTTGAAATTTGTTGAAGGGAGCAAGAACCATTTAAACATAGAATGGTTATCCGTTTGTTACTAGAAATCTCATTTAAACATGAGCTTCAACGCGCAGGGTGGAAATTTAGTTGTCAATAGTCTTTCGGAAAATGGGACTTACTTCTCGTCAGAGACGAATCTCCACAAGTACAGCTGCAGGTAATGGGTGTCGACCTGGATCTGCTGCAGGCCATATTTGCTGAACGTCCGTAATCTGATGCATTCCAGGAATGTCTATAAATATCGGAAAGGTTATATCGTTATCAACGAGCCGACGATGAATTCTCGGTAGCGTGGTGGTCAGGGCGTGTTGCGTAGTATGCGACGCCGAGAGAACGAAGTTATCCTCGCTCGCGCGCAAAGTGGATAATGACCGTGCCATTTTATCATTGTGGCCGGCCGACAGCACCTGTCTCTATTACTCGGTACTCTGTCTGCTAAAAGTATTTCACCTTTAAACTGATCTTGATGATCCCGGTGAGAATGGAGGCCTTGTTGAATTGCACCGACGAGAAGATCTCGATCCGCGGGGAGAACAGTTTATGGATTTTGTTCACCAACGAGGACTCTATGTGGCTGGGCGTGTAGGATGACCAACTGGACCTGTAGTGGTGTCTCGACACGCTTACGCTGGGAATTAAGTTCAGGATTTAACCGAGATTGAACGATGATTTGTTTCGTTAGTCCTGTACCTTTGGGTCTTCCTGCTGCTGTCGCTGCTCCTGTCCACCTGGCCATCCGAATCGCCGAATAGAAAGGCAACTTGTGAATCGATTACCGTAACGTCTTCCACTATCCTCTTCATCACGGGCCTCACTGTTCTCGGCTCGATCGTGTGCAACCAATCCCTCGTCTCCACCGATTTCCTTATCAATCGCGACACTGCTAAGCCTTCAATACGAACGTAATAATTTAATAAATTCTGAGCAGCTTCCTGGAACTCCTTGCATAGCTCTGTGTCAGACGTAATCACGTTCCCCGAGCATGTGTACTGCTCTATGTTCAGCAGCTTGTCGGTTGTCGTGAGCTGAGATTAGAATATGAGATGTTAGGTTCTGTTGAGTATGTTTGTCATCATTTATTGAACCCTATTTGCTGTAGCCTACCAAGTATTTGATGTTATTCTCTTTGTATTCTATGCACATTTTACTCAGTAAGAGTAAAAGGGTCGGTGGACATTTGGGGATGTCGGATCCAGTACAGAATCCACTTGCTGTTGCCACTAAGTGGTGGAGAAAGCCTACTACCAATCCTTCCCTCACTTCATCCACGCAGAAGTTTTGGAGGAACTGTGTTTTTAAACTGAATGACAAGTCTGGTTGTAGGAACACCTGAAATAGAGTTTTAGTCAGTTGCTTGTTGAAATAGTGTGTTGGAGTTGAGGAATAATAATGGTAAAATATGGACCAATAGATCTTGGAGAACTCCTTTAACTTTCTTTATGATGGACATGATAAGAAAGGGTATAACTTCTGCTAGACCACCTTCTTGATTTTCGTAAGTTTTGGTCGCCACTATTTGTCTGACTTTTCCGAGCGACTCGCTTAAGTGTTGCTTTAAATTGTCTAAATGATTGCGACATTGTTTCCTGCCTGCACTGATGACAATGTCTGTGCCAGTCCTGGTAATTAAGGAAATATGTTTAATGTCTTAAACTTAGATTTGGTTTAAAAATGATATTGTTTACTACCTTGCAAACTCTGTTTCTTTGCACAACATATTCATTGCTTGTATTTTTCTATGAAATTTATCTAAGGCTCTAACTAAGACTGCTGTATCAGCCACGTTTTCTACTCTTTTGCTAATTAAATCAAAGTATTTCTTCATGTTCTTCATAATAAAATCATTCAAACGTGCGATGGCTTTTGTTTCAAAATCATCAGAAAAGTCATTGTCTTCTACTAGCTCTCTATTCACAAAGAGATCATTGTAAGATGCAACAATAAGGCACAGATCACTAAGAAATCCAGAACTAGCCATATCTACAAAGTCTGAAATATCATTTTCGCATATGTCTTTTAAATTGTCTAATTGCTCTGTCAGCCTTTGATCTGCATGTGTTAAAAATTCATCACATAAAGAATCAGCTGGTTCTTTTAATTGTAATAACAGATTCACATTTTCAGCCAGAGACTTAGTTGATGCATCCCTCTTGTGAAATTGATTTCTTAATCTTGACTTCAGTTCCTCTAAAATTTCTTTACAGTCTTTCTCTATTCCTTGGAAGGATGGCATGTTGCCATATTGATTTAATGCACGCTGTGCATGAATATAATCTTGCACTGCCTGAAGGAATCACAAGAAACATGGTCCAATTAAAAAAACGATGCAACTATAAAATTAATCTTGTGTTGTAAAAGAAAATATCAACCTCTGCATAATTTTCCTCATTCATCTTATCTTTCAAATTGCTAGGTAACTTAAATAGGAATTGTAATTTTTTTAAAAGGGCATGGACGGAAGATAATTTGGCAATTTGATTTCTAGTGCCTTGCAATGTTGATGAAATCTGTTCAGAGAAGGATGTGATACTATCCATATTTTTTGCCAGCAGGTCCATACTCTCTTCCATTTCTTTAAAATCAGTCTTCATCTAGAAATTAAAAAGAGATACTTTTTATAAGATAAAATAGTTTACACGACAAACATTATATGCATTGTTTACCTTCCTAATAGTATCTGTAGCAGATATAAATTTATTATAATTTTCATACACTAATGTTTGCATATCCGAATGCAATGTTTGTGTGTTTTTTATAATTTCAGTTTCATGGTCCATGATTTGTTTTAATGTACATTCCTGTCAAAGTAAAAAACAATTCCAATTTGTACTGTCAAATTGATATAAAATAGGATCACACAAGAATAACAGGCTTACTTTGATTAATTTTTGAAAGTACATATCGGCATTGAAGTGTGGTCCATCAATACCATAAGGATTATTAGAATTCTCTGCCATTCTGTATTTTTTCTATCACAACTGAGCCACTTTGACAGATGGTTTACTACTGAATACAATGTTAGGTTAGCTCATGGACTGCCAACTTGGGCACCCGTTTTACGTAAGGTTAGGTAAAAAGACGCTGTGACGAGTAACATAACCTCCTCGAAATTGCAAAGAAAGCGCAACAAGTGCAATAAAGCGTGAAGAAAGTGACCTTGCAAGTTTACTTTCGAAGTAAAAGTGTTTAAAGTAAATTTTAGTTTTTCGATCTTTCCTAGAAACAGTGTGTTTCACGAGGACATTGGAAATTTAATGTATGCAGAGTATCGAAAATAATGAAGGGGTTATTACATTGTATCGTTGAATTTTATTGCATGAACATTCTAAAATCGTATCGCGTGCAGAAAGATTATGAGAAGATCATTTAAGGGTTAATTAGTATGAGAACTTTCTCAGTCACGATTGTCAGAAAAATTCTCTGACTCGAAGATAACCTCTCCCATTGTGTGTATGTCAAGATGATATTTTTCATTTGACGAAAACACAGGAATACAAAGTAATTGAGAAAATGCCACACCCGTGTGTTGTGTGCGGCCGTTCACGTATGAATCCCAATAACAGGGAAGAAGAGTATATGTTCTTTGGATTCCCCGTTAACGATGAGGCTCGATGCAGAAAGTGGTTGGAATTTTGCTGCCGCGAGGATTTGTACAAACTTACGAAAAAGCAGCTGCTTCAACGTATGGTCTGTTCCAAGCATTTCGATAAGAAAGATTTTTTAAATGAGTACTTCGACAGATTAAATAGTACCGCTGTACCTTCAATTTATGATCCAAAACAAAGTTTATACAACATAACGTGTGTACTGTGCGGTCGTTCCCGTCGAGATCCACCAAGTTTGGATTATGATGGTGCAACTTTCCATCATTTTCCTGGCGAAGAATTTCGTTGTTTGAAATGGCTTGATTTTGTTGGCGTTGATTCATACTATAGATTAACCAGAAAGGAAATTTTATTCTGTTATATTTGTTCGAAACATTTTGATGACTCTCAATTTATGTCTGGTTACAAGAGTAGACTAGTAGATAATGCTGTACCTAATATTCGCAACTCGGATCAGTTGGATGGATCTGAACAATATATTATGGAATTTGTATCAGACTTAAAGCCATATGGTTCTCCAGAGAAACCAAAAAAATTAGATCCTTTACCACCAGCTGTTTTAGAAAGTCAAGCATGTGCTGCGTGTGGTAGATCAAGATCTGATCCTAGAAACAAAGTGGAGAGATATAAGTTTCATCCTTTTCCTGCTTATGAGATTGGAAGGTGTTTAAGGTGGTGTCAATTTCTAGGTAGAGAAGATCTGTTGAAGATGTCACCAAACCAGATACGAAAATTAGTACTATGTTCCAAGCATTTTCAAACAGGACAAAGTTTTCATAAAGTAGGTCCATGTGATGCAGTTCCAACTATAAAAGATGTGTCACAATTGAATTCTGTCAATTCCACAGAACAAATTGAAGATGAACAGGATACTATAGACGAATCAAATTGTACTAATACGACTAAAGGAGTTAAGAGACAAGGATTTATAAGACCTTTAGTATCTAGTAAAAAACCAAAGGTAGATAATAAGCCTACTCCTCTTGCTAAGAAACGTGGAAAGTCTAAAAGGCCAACACTTATCAACATTCCAAGACCTGATCCTAATAATATAGAAAATCGAGTGATAAGGAAGTTGCCTCTTCCAGCTAACTGGAAAATTCAATTTACAGATCAGCTTCAACCAATTACAATAGCCAACAATATTACATCAAATATTACAAACAATATACAAGGGAATATAAAGAAAGTAATCTTACCGTTTACTGGTGACATATCGAATTTAGGTGCTCCTATACCAGTGAACAGTTTGTCCAGCATTCCTCCAGGTTTATTAATTAAAATCAATCTTCCTGAACAAGAACAACAGAAAACAGTAAAAATTAATAAGAAACAGACTAGGACAAAGATTACTCATATTCCTACTACCTCTAATGAAATTGATACAAGACAGCAAGTATGGGTAAAAAATGAACAAGCATCAGTTACATTGCCTGTAATAAAACAGACTAATCAGGATGCAGAAAAAAACTTAGTTGAATTTCTGGCGATCTCACCAGAAGAAACAGAAGTTAAAATGACTGCTGATGAATTGGAAGTGCACGAAGAAGTTGTTTTACCACATTCATTGGAAGTATTGGATGAGGAAGCAGCTAATGTGAAAGAGGAACAGTTTTATCAAGACTTTGAAGAAGTAGAATGTTTGACTCCCAAGCAAGAGAAGCCAGTACAGCGTAAAAAAGTGTCAGGAACAATGCGAAGAACAATTTTTCCTATTAGAAGTGAAGTTAAATACTTCTTGAGCAAACTTGCACCCTACATGCATAGACTTCCCAGAAAAGCTAGAGCACAAATAAAACTTTCGATCGTTAATATGGTGATTGATCAGTTATAAGTTTACTAAGGAATAAATAAATAGTATTTTTAAGGGACTATAATTGAAAGCAAACATTTTAAATATACGCGCGTATACAAATTCCTTGTATATTCAAAGTAACCAAGTATATAGTCGTTAAATGATAATAGCTAAGAAACATTATTTTTATTATATATTTATAAAAGAATGGTGATAGGTATGATAATAATTCTAGATTACAGATTTGGTAGAGTACAAATGCTATTTGTAGTAAATTCTTTGACCATTTTTATGTCATTTGTTTTACTTAATTGTTGAGATGTACATTTTTAAACTTTAAGAGGCATTGCATTGTTGCAAAAATTTATCAAAACTTGATAATTTGTTTTGATCAATTATATTTATACATATGTACATACATGTATAAACATACACACGTACATACACACATCATGCAAAAAATAGAATTATAATGATTATGTTGCAAAGAAAATGTGTAAAAAGATTTATTGTATGATAAAATTTTGTGAGAGAATGAAATACAAGATAATAATTTGTTTAAACGTAATTCTTTTGTCAATTAAAATTTTTTTTTAATTGTATAATATTCAGAATTTATTTAATATATTTAAAATTCTTAAAATAGGTATCTTGATTATTTACCACAATTTCCAAGTTAATTTTACAGACTTTAAGGAGATTGTATCTAATGACACAGGTATCCATATTTTGTCTATATTACTTGCATTAATATTCGTCTTTTTTTCAAAATACTGAATTATAGGTTTAGATATATCTTTGTTTACTTCCATATGGTTGTTTATCCATAATACTTCTGCGGAAGCAATTGGTTCTAGGATAAATCGATCGCATTAAAATATTTATGTTTATTATAAAATATAATGCATGTAGTTTCAGTTTTACTCACCGATGTTTACCTTCGACAATAATTGGTTTCGTGTGCCAATGCCATAAGATATAAATTTCTTAATTACATTCTGGTATTCTGCACAGTTGCACAATATACCAAGCGGATGTTCTATACAATTTTCAGATTTGTGATACATCATTTTTTATCTATCATAATTGTCGTGTTATCTGGTATAAATTAAATTGAAGTTGAAAACATATGAATGGAGAAATATATGTATAATTAGTAACTATAACAATATGTGTATGTACTATCATTTAAATGATAGGTATAAATAGAAATAACACTAATAATAATCAAAATCATAGTTTATGTATAATACATATTAATACAAGAACTTGCAAGTATAATTAAATTAAGCGGTGTGTGTTCGAATATAATACAACTAAGAAGCCAGCTTCTTTCTATCTATGTCATTATGTGTAGCCAAGATACAGTAGTTGTCTAGAGAATACACATAGATTATAAAAGCTGGATACAAAAACTGTACAGAAAAATGAAAATAGTTAGTTTATTTTTATAATACTTGATCTTTTTTTTTGGTAATTTAATACAAAGCATTGCTCAAACGTTTTTCATAAATATCAAAATATGAGGCATTTATCCACTGAATTCATATTATATATATGCGTGTCCTCGGTTAAGTGCAAGCTTATTTAACACTGAAAGTCAATGCTGATTAAGTATTTACATATTGCAGCTAACTACGTAAACTTTGTAGTCTCATTTTCATTTCCTCAAGCTCGTCATCTGCTACTTCTTTCTCTTCTTCCGCGGATGTAGACGCTACCACGGATCCTGGGTTTTCTGTAACAACTGCAGGTGCTGTGCCTAATTGACCTGCAGTGACTTCCCATAATATCTAAAAGAAATGTTAATTGCCACATTAGCATATTTACATAAAGAATATCAGTGGATATATACATATAATTCAAAATTACTTTGTCTACTTCTTCATCTGCTTCATCTTCCACCTCATCAGAATCTTCAATGGAATCCATAGTCTCATCTAACATTTCTTCAATGATACCTGCCTTCATCATTTCTTTGGACAATTCTCTCATTGTAGCTGCTACTTCTGGCACCCTGACTAATGACTGCATCGCTTGCATTACCTCTGTAGATTTCGATACTGAACCCGCAACTCTGATAGTTGCCAATTGATTTTTCATTTGCAAGGATACAGAATTCATATGAGCTTTCGAGGTATAGATCTTATTACAGGCTTTACGGGCACGTATTATCTCCTTGGCTAGAATTTTACACACATCTTTGTCTCCTTTCTTCGCTGCTTCTTTCAGTGACCGTTTAACTTTCTCCTCTTCACGTTGGATCGCTGTGTGCAAGTTGAATCATCCAATTAGATTTTCAAGTTTTCAATTAAATACCACAGTGTATTCTATTATCATTTACAGGTATCTCACCTCTAACCTGTCTGTCCAATTGATACCCCTCCTTCCTCAGTTTGTGTGTCCATTCCTGAACCTAAAACGAGACTATGTATAATAAACACCAAGCAGTTGTTGCATCTCGTATCGAACCATTTCCTTCGGATTCTTTTCCTGGGATTTCCCGAACAAGCCCATCTTCGCGTTATGTTGACACAAATGTCAAATGGGTTATGTGCACTCGGGTGTTGCACCTGCCAAACATAACCAAACTTTTCAACTCTTCCATCAGCCGAAATCGTAAACTACCCGAGCTAACCATCGTGATTACGTCATTACTAAATGAATCACCGATGTTCTCACGCAAGGAACACAGTGAAGGCCAAGAACCAGATAAGAATAACACACGTACAACGAAAAATTAAATGACACAATAATAAGCCGCTGACATTTTCGTTCCACAAGTTTCATGGACCAAATAAAGGGAGCGTTTGAGTACCAATTAAATTTATTTATCTCTCCCCAACGTTACATTAGATCAACGCTCTCTAGACCGTCTACAAAACTGTATAAAAAGCTACTAAAATAAAATACAATTATTACGAGATAATTACTATCCGTTACAAAATATTGCAACAAATCTATGACCCATTATTAGCATCAAGAATCATGTCCCTCAGCCAATATAACACATCCGTTACTATTTCCACTCGTTCGTTCACCGATCGATCGATGTTGCGCCCGTATCGGTATTTGCCAAGGTTCCTGCCCTTTTGTCCACGATATTTATAATTAATCGCGTCGCTGTTCTCATAAGAATCCCTGCTTGATCTTGGCGCAGGAGTTACTTCCGGTTCACCGTTCTCTGGTACCCCGTGAACTGAAAACAAATCACGCAGCAGATGCCTTTTATCTTCGCCGCTTCTTCCCCGATTTCTCGCTGGATCATCAATCTTCCCCGTCTCGTCGAAATTCCACGGGGCTTGCACTTTCTCCAAGTTCAGCGACAGATTGTACCTCCGCGCGAAAGTTTCCACGGGCATCGAGATCTGCAAGCTGTCGTCAATCGTGTGTTCCCTGGATGAAATCGATCTTCCAGTTCCGCGTTTCGCGATCCTCCTCCTCCTCGGTTTTCCGTCTTCCGTTTCCGGTTTCCTCACTGTACCAACAACACTGCCGTTCACCGGCACGCAGCAGGGACACTTCTCGTTCAACAAATGCTCGCAGACCCTTCTGGAGATGGACAACCCATAGGAACCGTCCGGCAGCTTCCTGATCTCTAGGGGTAGCTTTACCCCGTCGCCTACGTAGAACAATTCCGAATCTGAAAGACTGTGGACATCGTCAGCAGGATTGTTCTTCTTGACTGAAATTTTGCCTAAATACGTGTAATCCGGGGAAGAATTCTTCGAAGGAGACTCCGTGCTAATTGCTAGACCCACTGTCTCTTCCGTTGTCGCGGAGATATGTTTCGGAGTGCCGTCTATTATCGAGGTTTCATCTCGATCCCCTGGAGAGACTCTAGGAGGATTTGGGGAGATCGATCGTTGAGCCTCTTCAGGGATCGTCGATGCTGTCTGCGTACCTTCCTCTGTTTTAGGGTATTTGTTTACTGAATAAGCAACTGTAGACGGTGTTTCGAAGTATGTCGTGAGCTTAGGATGCCTCGTTGCCCCGACGAGATCGCAAGACTCCGTGACAGACGAAGTGTGTCCCACAGCTTCGCCTTCTGCCGAATCTGTTGGCAGTTCTAGCAAACTTTCTTCTATTCCTTTGGGTTGGCCCAAGAAGACAGCTTCTTGCTGGTTAGCCTTAGGGTATTCCTGCGTCTCATCAGTCGTTTTCGACGTATCAGCAAACTGTGCTTCGGTGTTTCTCTGTGCACCCAAAGTAGACGCGACGGATGTGTCCTGAATATCGCCCATAGTTGACGTAGGTGCTTGCGTGATCCCTGCTTCGTCCCTAGCGATCTCCAAGAATTTATTCACATCAATGTCCTTAAGATCCTCCGAAGGTTCCTCCTCAGTATTAATCGTTGTGTTTTCCAGGTTCTCCGCCTCCATCAGGTTCAGCTCACTCTCCAAAGCGTCCTGGAGGAACGAGTCATCGAGGGTCTGCTCGCTGGCGGGATTCTCGCGGTTGAAGTTGTCCCGGAGGCTCTGCAGTATCATATTCTGGACAACGGGTTTCTTGGCGGCTTGCAGACCTACTACTGGATCCCGGAGAAGGCTCCTCATGTCTGTTCGTAGTTTTTCCAAGGCACTAGGTGCTGCTCCGACCTCTTCGTTCGAGGTAGGCGCAAGGGTAGCCAGGTTCGTAACCCATTTCCCGTCTCTGAATTGATGCTCCACGACTGTGTTCTCAGGAAGTTCTGCTTTCGAGGAAGGAGCAGCTGCCAGCGTGTCCCGCAAACTATTCCTGATCACGTTCGTCGGCCATTCGCCGTCGAACTTCATCCTAGGCACGCCGGTCACCCTCGCCAGGAGATTCTTAACCCTATCCAGTACCGTGTGCTCGATCGGTGGCATAGACAAAATGCTCTTCAAGTTCGGGACCTCTACAATTTCTTGCAGTAAATCATCCGCCGGTGAACCCACCAGTTCCCCGCCCCCGTTGCCGTCCGTTTCAGCCAAGTTGCCTGCCGCGAAGTTATTAATTACCGACTTAATCGACTTCTGGAGCAACGAGTTGTCACAGAACGGCAATGACGGATCCTCTATGGTCGTCGTTTTTTCCGGATACGGCGTGCCCATTGTTTCTTCGTCTCCGCCAGCTGACGAGTCCTCATTCGTCGTGTAATCATCATTTAAGTTAGGGGACTGTACCGTGCCATCCATCGAAGGATCGTTAACCCGACCTCCTTCTTGGTACCCTTCCTGGCCCGCAATCTTCTCCATGACCTTATCAGAATTCAAATTGTCCGCCCCGTGATCGTCCTTTAATGGGGCGGTATTATCCTCCATTTCCGGCGACTCGGACGAGTAATCTCCCGTGAAAAATCCGTCGGCCGACGGAGAGACACCGTGATTGATATTCCCCGTTGCGTCGCTGCCATCCGCGGGCGCTAAACCTTCCGAGATTAACACGGTCTCCACTTCCGAGGAAGGAGGAATTACCTCTTCAGGGTTGTTCATATTATCTTCGCTACTTCCTTTGACGTTCTCTATATTTCTATGTAAATCACCTATCGCGGAAGCTCCCTGGTTCCAAGAAGGATCGCTCTCTCCTACTACTGCATCCTCTTCATCATCATTTGCATGTACCGGATCATCTTCCGTTAACGACGAAGAACCAGTATTTTCCTTGTTCCTTATCCTCGTTACCGCGTTCGTTGCGCTCTCGACCGGTCCCTCAGGACTTTCCGTAGGATTGTTCAATGTACTACCTAAGTTAACTGCTCGATCTTGATCCCCATCTGGACTGGAATCCATTGGTCCAACGCTAGTTGGATGAAATCCATTGAAACTAGTAGGCTCACGCGGTAATTCAATCTCATCTCCATTTTCATTGTAAGCCTTCGACGTGAAGGACGTGCTAGTTACTTCTCTTATATCAGAATAATCCAACGTTCCACTTGAAGTAGTCCCGTATTCGTTTTTCGGATTGGCTGCACTCACGAGATCCTCTTTATCGGGCGACGAAACACCGGAAGCTGGACTTTCATATTCCACAGTCGTATGTTCAGGAGAATTCAATCTTACAGATTGCAAATTATTATCGGAATTCTCTCCTGATTCTTCCCGCTGTTCATTTTGTTTCTCTGTGTCCATAGCCTTGGCGGTTTTCGCTGACGACGCTGGAATTCCTTGGCCAGCCGATTGCGAGTGTTTAGCAGCAACGTTCGGCGAACAGTGCTGTTGCCCAATACCTTGCGTACCCGCGGAAGAACCGCGCTGACTGCTGGGCGCCCGTTGACCAACTAACGAGTCATCGATTCGATTAAAAGGAATGCTAATCCTCGTCGGACTGTGTGCCTGGTTCACTCCTGGAAGCATCGCTAGTTGAGGATCGACGTGATAGATGTAGGGCACGTATGGCACTCCTCCGTGCTGGAAAATCGGATTCACTCCTTCAGGCAGACGCTGGCCGGGTAGATATCGCTGGTTATCTGGCTGGCGTATCGGCAGCCTTTCAAACAAAAATGGATGAGGCGGTCGCTGCGCGTAGATCGGTTTTTGCTGCAGCCTGCTCTCGTCGGGGAGCATCTTCTTGTTATCGTTCTTCCTCTCTGGCTTGTTCTTCGGCAATCGCTGCCTGGGGATTGCGTCTTTCCGCGAAAGAGGATTACTCTTCTCTCTGCAATAACAAACGTACTTGTCGTCGTCGATTACGCTCGTCTTCGGCGGCGGGCGTCCGCGAATTGCGCCCAATTTGTACTCCCCGGATCTCAGTTTTTTGCGGAGCGCTTCGACGATCGCTGCGCGACGATCTTCCGCGTTCGCTTCGTGTTTCGACGCTACGTTAGGGGGTTTTAAGGAGACCAGCTGCAACCGGGGATTCCCGCGAAGCAATGCCTTGCACCGCTTCGTTTTTTGACTCTTCGGCGATGCACACTCCGTTTCGTCGCTTCTGCTGGGTCTTTTAACGTCATCCGATGGCATCAGTATTAAGAGACTCCTCTTGCCGCTGAATTTCTCGTTAGAGTCGGATCCTTGGACCAACGGGACGCTACGGAGCACCGTGTCTAGGCTGGGAAAGAAAGATGGTTGTTCGTTTACTCTGGAAAACTAGAATCCTTTGCTTATACATAAACAATTTATTTTTCCCTCTGTTTTAGAGATACAATATTGTCACAGGATTGTCAAAGCTATTAATTATTTTAGTTTCAAATGTTTCAGATCGTTATTTTCTTCACTTCATCTCGAGAGTCAGATTTAAAACATCACTGAAATATAATTAAGAATAATTAAATTTCCTAATGTAACAGTTGCAACAGTTAATGATGTGCGTTTTATAAGATCGCGAGTGTAAAGTGAGCGTGAATGGATATTAATCATCGTCAAGCCAAGAGGATTATCAGATGTTTGAGTAAGTAATCCGACTGTTCTAATAAAAAAGAAATCTAATTAACGAATTTCATTGTGAAGCGTGCCCCTCTTATCCCGCGGACGCGAAATTCCGTCGTCTGCGAGCGGGGAACGTTATATTTCCCCTTTTTTACGTTTTTCGCGTCGCGGGGAATGTAATTCAAGCGCCGCTGACGCGAACAGTTGCGCCAGAGCGTCGTTTTCTCGGACGACTAACATACTTTTCGCGTCTGCAATCCAGCGGGCCGGCCCCGTAATCCGAAAATCGTCCGAGGGGAAGCTCGTTTGAAAAATTGAAAGAATGTTCCGATGTACTCGACGGGAAGCTAGATAAATGGTACCGGATAAGGAGAATTTATGGGGGTGTGCCGGATCGTGCGCCACACGGTCTCGAAGTATATATTCCCTGGAAAATTTGTTGAATTGTCCCTTGTAAATATGATGATCGCGTCCGATAAGTGGACCACGTACGGTTCATTATAGTTCAAATTGCGAAAGTATGCTTAATTTCGCATTGTAATCGATCGATTCGAAAATAGAAAGAAAACCTTTACCGCTTCGTCTGTTAAATTAACTCTGTGCTTCTTTAATGTAAATTTAATTAGCATTCAGTTAGTATTAAATCATACATCGAAGTCCTAAATAACAGAAAATAAAATATGCGTTTCCATTTCTCGATTATAGATGCAGTACGGTGTTGATCTTCGTGAAAGTATTAACAATTCGTAATTAATCCGCTCAATCGGAAAGATTCACATTTACGATGATATAAAATTCAAATTACTGAAACTTCATTCGGAAAGAATCTCTTCTTTAATCGATATTCAATTTCCCCAGCTCAGCTTCAGAATATTAATTAAAAGAAAATCAAGGACACTCTGGTTTAATCGTTTAATAAATTAAAATAACAAGGATCTGCATAGTTATCCCCTTGAATATTAATTTGAAAATTACCTCTCACTGCTGGTAGCATTTTCAACGTCCTCGTTGCCATCGAAGTTGACGCCCTTCGAAGTCGCTGTCGCGGTCAGCGTCAGGAATATCGAGCAGATTAGAACCGACCGATCCATGATGATCAAGAATTCACACGGTTTACCATTAATCGATTCCCGTCTCGCTCACTTCCGAACCGAACACCGCGAAGACCGATCGACGACTGCACGGTCCCGCACCGGACGCATATATTCGCGAAAAGTTGCATGCATGTTTTGATGTCCCGGAGATTACGAAATCATCGATGTCAGGCGTCGATCGTGTCGTAATAGACGTGTATTATCTTGTAACGGAGATTACGATATCTAGGACACCGAAATCGAAGCAAAACATGCATGCACTTTTCATGCAAACAACTCTTAATCTACGTTTGATTAAACTTCCATCAACTCCGCGATTTCGGATCATCGTTTCGTGTTCTTTTATACGTCACCGCGGACGTTACGATTTTCCATGGAATTATACTCGCGAAGGGGTTGGTTTTCATTTCAATTCAATTTCACTCGTCTCTCACGATAACTTCCATTTTATTCGGAATCGTAGAAAAGAAGCGTACATCAGTAGAAAATTTAATATTACAATTTATAAAATATTCTCGTATAAATTACGGTAACGCGACTGACAGCTTAGAATTAATTATCCCCGCAGAGCGTGCGTGATTCCGGTCAGGATCGTGAAGAATTTCTGCACGTTCGTAATGGCGGTGCGGAAGGCGCGTTGAGTGATACCGATCGATTCATCGTCGGCCGAGCCTCTGCGATCCTCGTCGCTCATCGTCTCGTTGAATCTATCATCTAGATCGTCGATCAATCGCTCCACGGAGCCCGTCACGTTCTGAGCTTTCTTTAAACCGTCGACTACAACGATCTCCATCCTCGGTATGCTTCCTTCGATGAACGATGGCAGTCCGCGATCCTCCTTCAAATCTTTCCGCGGATTCTTCTTGCCCGTTAGGTAATTGAACAGGCTACCTTTTGGCGAATACTTCTTCAACGGCCGCTTACGAATCGTCGTTGCCTTGGTCTCAACGAAATTATCGGTCGTTGGGACTTTCGGGCTCGATGTCTTCTCCAATTGTTGCACCTGAAGAAACGAAATCGGTTTTCAATGTTAGACGCATTGTCAATCGATAGCTACTGTTTTAAGTCGTGAATAACTTCTAGAGATATTGAATAGTTATCAAATTTAAGCGTTTAAGGGGTAGTTTCATACTAGGTTCATGGAACAATCAATTTGATACATATTGAGTTTAAATTTTGAAAATTATTAGGTAAACGGTTTTGATTGATGTGATGTCAATTTTTCTAGGTACAGTCTAAGAACAGTGGAATTAGTTATTTTAGAGATTCAGTTTCACCTTCTCTGTCTTTGCATTTTCTTCTTCTCTTTCTTTCTTCTGATTCACTTCTCTTCGATGTCTGCCGAACCTTTGCGACCAAGGCAGCACCATGAGCACCTCAGGCTCTTCGCTGTCTCTTTCTTCAGCATTGTAGCGTTCCACCTGGTCCGATACATTTTCTTCCCCATAATCAAAACGTTCTCCGTGTTCTCCAGTTTCTGAATTATTTTCCACTGAGCCCCGTGCATTTTGATCTCGTGGATTTTTCTCGCTAACTACTGGATCCTCTTCCGCTTCCGTTGACAAAGCTTCGTCGCTCAATTCCGAAGGAATTAGAATCTTCACGAGTTCCGGAGAATTTTTGTTTCTTCTGAGACCCGTTTCACTGTAACCCTTGTTTCTTGATTCTTTAACAGGCACCGCTTTATAATATTCCGTTTTCTTCATCATCTTGAAGACTTCCGACGAATCTTCGTCAGAATCCCCTTGTGGACCTTCTTTCAGACACAGGTAATTGCTTCTCCCATTTTTCTTGATTTCTCTCGGTGATTTCCGAAGGAAACACGAAGGAACCAGGCGAGAATAATCATTCTCCTGTTCTTCGTTCGTGTCTCTTCGACTTCTAACATGCACTGGCTCCGTCTCATCCAAATTTTCCGAGGAATTACTCTCTCCGCTGACTACTTCCTTCTCCATCGACAAATCTTCACCATTTTCTTTTCGTTCTTCATTTTCTTGCTCGTCAGAAGCTTTCTCATCCTCTGCACTCTCTAGAACCTCTTCAAAACCGTTCTGTTTGATCTCCACTATCTCTGGCCCTTTGATCGAACGCATGGCATTACGTTTTTCATCGTTAACAACGTTCTCTGTCGACAGAATCCTAAAAAGTTCACTGGCAGACGGTAAATCTAGATTGTTGATAACAACTTTCAGCAAGTCCCCTGAGTTTTCCGTAGATTCCGTCGAGCTTGCACTTTTGTCTTCGCGTTTCCTGTGCTCCGCTTGACGAGCACGTTGCAATTTGTACAAAATCGGCTCCCACGTTACCTCGTACACGTCTTTGGGCATTATTTCTAAGTCTCTGTTTCTGGAACGCCTGTATACTTGCAAAGTGGGCTCTCCTCCTCTGTACTTCGACGGATCGATCACGAACAGCTCTTTGCTGCTTGTCAGCTCCTCAGAAGTTGTTCCAAATTCTTCGCTAGAATCGCTGAAGATTCCCGGATCCACGAGACGTGGCCTGTATCGAGATAAATCGTATAGATCCCCGTTGCTGTCGAAATATGGGTAGGTGAACACCTGTGAAGATCAATAAACGAGTTATCCGTATACCTATTACACGCAAATTAACTTCTATCATTTCAGTATTTAATTTTTGTTCCTTTACCTGCACACTCCTCTTCTCTTTATCCCATGACTTAGGCTTGTAATGGAAAATCCGCGGATTCTCTAAACTCTCCACCATAGCATAGTAACTCTTATCATTCCCATCAGCATCGTCATTAGCATCTATCGCATCTCCATTCTCTAATACATCTCTCAACCGAATAACCTTCTCCTGTAGCGACTGAGGATTGGAATGTTCCAGAATATCAGAATCATAGATCCTCCGACTTTTAGGGTGGAAAATCCTCTCTCGAACATTCCTTGGTCTCACAGGAACATCCTCTTCAATCTTCTCTTCTTCGCCTTCTTTGTTGTCCCTCTTCGCCTTGTACATCAGCGTATAAGGCAGTTTATCTTCATCAATGGCTTCCCGAATCTTCTCGTTCAGCTTCCTCTTCCCTTCATCGTCTAACGCTCTTCTCCTATATTGCTGCAACAATCTCTGCCTTCTTTCCTTCATCTTCCTCAGCTTCTCACTTCGCTCTGGTTCATTCTGATATTCACGAATTCTGCCGGCTGAACCTACCCTACCAGCCAAATCCGCCTGTTTCCTCCTCCTCCTCTCGTTCATGATCTTCTTCAGGGTCAACAGTGCTTTCGCTCGGTCAATCACACGTTTCTCAGACGGTGTCGCCACGTTGGCTTTACTTCTTCTGCTCGGGGAGTATCTTGGTCTATATTTTCTCCCCCTTGGCGACCCCACTACCGGACTTTCGCGTTCTTCCTCGGTTTCTTCAGGTACTGTCGGCGAGGCGTCTTCGTCTGCTTGCCTCTTCGACCCTCCTCTGGCAACCTTATCGTTATCGTAATCGTATTCGTGCCCCTCGGCGATGATCTTCTTGGATAAAACGACTGGATCGAATGTCTGGCTCGGAGCTTCGGTTCCCGAGGCTTCGGCTTCTTCGGTCTCCTTCTCCAGGAGCTTCTCAGTGGACGAGGACGCAGAATCCCGCTCATGATTCGCGTTATTGCCTGCAGTATTCTCGTGATTATCAATCGACGACTCCTCTTCTTCGGTTTTCCTGGATTCACCGCGAAAAAGTTGGCTCCCGTCCCTACGAACTGCTGTTTTGCTGTCCTCGTCGAGACTCTGTGTTAATAGAGAGCCTGTGGACACTGGGCTAGATTCCAGGACCTCTAGATCTGCTGGAGAACCTTCTTCGTCATTCAAAGAGGGATCGTCCACGGTTTCCTGTAGATCTGAATCTTCTTTACTTTGCATATACGTTTCTGCCACCCGCGACTCGTCTAAACCCTCTGCAGGAACTAGTTCCCTGTTTAAAGAAGGGTTATCTACGTCAATGTCAACGATTTCTGGTTCTTGAATCTCTAGGTGCTCTTCACTTTGTGGATACGCTTCTACATCCCGTTGAATCTGTAAGTTAGAGTCCTCTGGCTGCAGTTCCAAGACCTCTAGATCCCCCGGAGAACTTGGTTCATCGTTCAAAGGATTTATTTCTGCCTCTCGTGCAATTTTCAAATTAGACAGCTCTGGTTGCAGCATCAAACCACCCACATCTTCTAGAGGACCTGGTTCATCATCCAAAGAAACTATTTCTCGCGCAATTTTCTTCTTGGATGGGTCTGGCTTCAGTGCTAAGACCTCCATAGGCTCGTCCCCTAGTTCAGCAAACACTTCGATTTCTTCTGAACCTGGACTCGCATCGTCAGTTCTCGAATCTGTCGTTTCATCTTCCTCAGAAGCGATTTCTAGGTTAGACGCGTCTCGTTTATGTCTGCAGCCACATGGTCCATGTCTAATGACTCTACAGTTGCAATCTTTCGTATTAGCATCGTCCTCGTCGATCATCTCTTGGTCCAATATGGCGCGCAGGTCTTTTCCCTTTCTCTTGAATCTTCTACCTACAGGATCCTCGCTTCCCAGTGGCAATTCTGTGTCCAAGTAGTCGAACATCATAGGACCCCGATCAACAAACCTAGCTCCATTTGATCCCCAAGAAGCTCTGCCAGTAGCCAAAATTGGTTTATCGATACTAGACTGAACAAGAGAACCTCTGTTTCTGAAATTCCTTGGAACGTTAGACTCGTAGTACCCAGTCAATTTACTCGGACTCTGTCTACCACTTTGAACTCTTAGATTCTCGTTATTAACCCCTCTGCTTTTATCAGGGTAAGTCTCAGATTCCCAAAGTTCACCAGGACCAGTCCTGTCGTTCCTCTTCTCATTATCGAAGTATCTTTCAGGCTCGTAGAAGCCATAGTCACCTTCTTCGTCCATCCAACTGCCTTTAACATTACCGTAATCCTGTACAGGATGCTGGTTCCTTCCATTCATTTCACTGTTTCGATCATTGGGTCCTTGGACCGCTTTCAGATAGCTAGGGTTCTGATTATAGTCCTCTGTGCCATAGAAAACGTCGCCTTCAGGGAAACTGTCTACAGGATTAGTCCTGTGGGATCCATAGAAAGCGTTCTCACCGTTTTCACTGGTTCGATCAAAGACACTAGCTCTGACTTTGCTACGAATGTTCTCTTCCACCTTCTGACTATTTCTGAGCCCTCCGACTTCGCCCAATCTAGCTACTTCTCCAGGAACGTTTTGTCTGTCGAAAAAGGATTCGCTGAACAAGTCTCTTCTTGCTCTTTTAGTCCTTTGGACGTCTCCAGCTCCTGCTGCATCCAATTCTAACAATGGTACACGAGTTAGGAGAAGTCCTAAAGCTTTTAGGTGCTCTTTCGCCTTATCGGATGATCTGGCTCGCTGGATCTTGGATATCAGTGACGTAGCTTTGAGGATTATTTCTTCGAGTGCACGTTTCACTGTTTCCTTCGTTGCTTTTGATCTGACTATTTGCTTCAATTTGGACAAGCGGTCTTTGTGCTCTTGTAGCTTCGACTGATCTTGGGAATTCTGATCATTCATTGGTCTACCTTGTCTTCTGCCTGTGCGTCTCCTGTTCGCTCGAGATTCGTTTCTCAGTTTCCTTCTGTCGTCCCTAGATTCCTCTTCGTCTTGCACGGATCTTGTCACGTGAGTTTTTATGCTCCCTCGATCATAAATTGTGCTTTCAATGGTATCTTTTTCGAGCGACTCGTCAGTCTCCATGCAGGACTTTATCTGAAGAAGTCGATTCATTAAAACAGTTGATTTGTTAAGTTGCTGTGTCAATGAAAATAGAGTACGAGTCTAAACATACTTTGAGATCCGGTAGGACCCAGAATCCAATGCTCGCCGAAGGGAAATTAATTCCTAGTCCCTCCGTATCATTCAAAATGACTGGTTTAATCTCGGGGAGACTATCATTTAACAGTGTCAAGGTCTCATTATTTAATAGAATGCTCCTACAAGATAAATCCCAATGAATCACACAGAAAAATATAATTCTAAACAAGCTATTCATTGGACAGTTAGGAAACATACTCAGCGAACATCCTATTCGTCGTGTCGAAACCCGGAGAAAGGAGATATTCGTGAACCGTCGTCATTGGAGTCCCTTCTAATTTAATTTCCATATTTTCAGGGTTGATGTTCACTCCGAAAATAGTGATCGATCCTTGCTTGTATCTGTCCGAGGCTTTTGTGCATTGGCAATAGAGGTACACGTGATTCTTCTCGTCGGTCTGCATCGTCGCACCGAACACTCGGCGGCCGACGAGAGTTTTGTGGAGCAAGGTCACCCAGTAATCCTGTAATTGGTCGAGTAATTAGTCATCGATTCTTCTTCCATCTCGCGATTGCACAATGCGACTCACTGGACTCGGCCGAGTCAGGTCCACCGGTTGCCTCAAGATCACGTCCACGTTCGACCTCGCTGCGTTTCCTAATCTCCTCGCCAAAATCAGCGCGCCGAGATACAAGTTCTTGTATTCCTCGGGTTTCGATTCAGCTGTCGGAACAATTACAATCCGCGTGATAACGTGTCAATTTTTGAATTCCATTGGAAATTAGATTTACAAGTGGCCCTTACCGATCCACAACGGTCGATTCCCGACGAAACGGCCGATAACTTTGTACAGATCCTTCTTATCTTTATCCAAATCGTCCGGTTGTATAAGGACTCCCTTATTGTCTGAGCTAATGTTGTCAAATTGTCTGGAAGAATTAGAGCAATATCGTGCGATCGATTGTAAGAAAAGATTGGCTACGTTTATGATTGAATTTCAAATTTAAGTTTGACTTTACGGGTGCCAAGTGATCGCCGAGAGCGCAGGCGCAGCGATGTTGAAGTATTCTTGAAGATACTGCCTCTGCTTTTTCGTTTTGTAATCCACGATATCAGGTCCTATGATCAAACTGCTCGAATACCTGGGAAATGCGTCCAACGTCTGCTTGAGAGCTACTAATTGTTTCGCTAGATACGTTGCCGAAGTATTGATCCCGTTTTGGAACTCTGCAATACCCGATTTAAAACAATTTCATCCAATCAGTCCATCAGATAACCAGTCCAACGTTCAATTATTTGAAAATTACCATATCCCAATTGCCAACTAGCGTTGAAACCCATGTGGTCACTGAAAGAAACTACCTCCTCAGCATTTTCGTGCTCCCTAGCAGTACTTTCAGCCGAAATACAAGCGACTACGTCCAGCCCAGCTTTCTCAGCCCACTGATACGCTATCACCAAATCGGATTCTGTGATCAGAAATTAAACATCGCCTAAATCTAACGAAATATTAATTATCTCCATCCTTAATGCTTAATCAATACCCAAAAAACACCTTTCGTACAGTAAAAGACCATTATTATCAATACCGATACTCAGATACAATTGCAATGAAAATTTCAATGTAATTCCATTAAAAATAATTAGCCTCCATATTCATTAAACTTCAAAGACCTCCGCAATCGTCGGGTTCTACGTCAAAGCCCAAGGGGTTGAAACGCGAGCCGTAATCGTAGACTCCTGCGAACACTAAGAAAACCGTGGCATTCAGAGGCAAAGGTGCTCACTGCCTTTTCATTTGTGCCGAGGCGGTAGTTAACGAATCTCGCGGATACGAGTTCAACCCCCAGAGAACGTCCACCAGGAGGATTCGCGTATCACGTCGTTACTCCGTAGAAAACATGGCGGCACGTGGAATTACCGAAGCTCGGCGCTAACCCAGAAATTACCTTTCAGTATTTGCATCTTTCGGTGCAACAGTGCATCGCATTCGCAGGGTAATTATAGTCGGACGGTACAAGCCTCGCCGCGTTCCTCTCCTATTTCCGCGATAGTATTCGAGTACTCGCGCGTGAAGAATGCGAGACGTATGCATATGAAGAGGGTTAACGCGAAATTGGCCGAAGAGCCGGCTGGTTGCGGCGTTAACGTAACTTTACGTTGGACACGTGGCGGCTCCTTTGTTCGCCGGCACGCGCGCTACACTCGCGCTTTAATTAGTCGAGATAATGGCTAATTATCTCTGTGATTGTGTAAATCGCTGGGATAATGAGTTGATTCAGTATTTCGTGGATTGAACCTACCGGTTTTAAAATTTGATTTAAAATACTGCTCTGGTTTAGAGTTTGATCTGATATTTAGTTCCTTCATTGCTTGGTTAATTGATTTTTTGGTTTTTGTCCTTGCGTCTGTTTGCACTTAGGAACGTGTGACTCGTTTACCTTTATTTTGTAATTATTTGTGTTTAGTGTTAAGGATTTTAAAAGGAAATGGAGTTACTTTAGAGCAATGAGTTTCAATTTTCGTTGAATTTTTCTGGTTTTAACCTCCCGGGGTTGGAACGTTAAATAAATTTTATTTTGGCTTGGAGAGTATTATCTGTAGAAAGGGAAGTTAGGTTAATTGGACGATTAGAGTTTACCTGAGAGCGCATAGTTCTTGTCGAGCCCGTTATCTGGAAGATCCCCATCGCTGGATCGAGAAAATGTACCGTGTGGTCCTCCCAGTCGGACGTAGGCGGGTCTCAAAGCGTTCGCTAATCTTACGCTTCTCTCGAAGCTGCTGCTGGAATAGTCGAAACGAAAATTCGTTTGCTAAAACGTTGGTAGGCTTGATCGACGAGGGAGAGCGATAAAAGGCTTCATTAACATTCGAATCGCCGAGGGTTCACAGAACACGAACTTTGAGGCATAAACGTTCGGCAATTTTCTGATAATCTTCTATTTAGAAAATTGTTTCTTCCAACAGAATCCGCACTTCATATCGAAAAGAAAGAAAGAACCTGGGGCACTCGAGTGAACTCGGTATCTTGATTAAAAAAATATAAGATTTCGAGGAATGTCGCTGTAAAAAGGGAACGAGAACTTTGGCGCACCCTTAATAAAGCTCGCGCGCGTTTCATTTCGCCGGAGCTAGATTGGATTGCGACCAGTTGAAAGGTTCGTCTATTGATTACCTTCGAATCGATCTTGAATTCTTCAGGGTCGTCAACTCCGTTAAGAGTTTCAGTATTCTCTTCGAATAAACCGAACGTTCTCGATAAAGGAAATTGAAAAGGAGGAACTATTCTGTAGTCGACGCTAGAACTACCTTCGGGTCTTTGAGACTTTGAGTCAAAATCACTCATTCCTGATTCCCTTTCCTCAATAGTTGCACAGATAACAGATGTTTCTTCGAAATATTACTATGAAAATTGATTTAGCGATAGATAAACTGAATTGTAATTCAATTGAAATCTCAGTAGCAGTGTTGGATTTATAGAAAACTTTTGAAAGGACGATGTGACGCTTGGTAGTTCTAGTGTTAAACATCAGAGTGTTCTATCGTTATTCTGAGGTAATTAGTAAGATATCTATTAAATGTACCGAGTAAATAGACGAATGCAATGTGCAGCTCGTTATTCGATGTACGTACCTCAACGCTGCACCTTGCAACAGGACTGCTGGGTCAATCGTGAGGCTGAGGAACTTCTCGTCGGTGACGGCGACAGGCTTTCCAAAGTCGACGTTCAATTTTAATTCCTTGGCAACGATTGAATACGACGCGAGAATATCGATAAGAAATAAAATGCAGATACTGCACTTGCGACGCTCCATCTCGAAAGGTATTCTTTTAATCGGTTGTCGCTGGTCGATTTCGAACAATTTCCATCTCACGGAATTGAAGGCGCGATCGGAAGTTGCCGGGGCTCGGATCGTTCCGCGGGAAATGCTTTCTTCGTACTGATGGACGCGATTATTCGGAAAAAACTAAATGCGACGTGTCGAACGCCGCGACGAACACCGTGAGCCACTTTCGATCGTTTTGAAATCGCTAAATCGGTCGTTGCGTAAAGAACCGTCGGTGGTTTGCACGCACAGCGAAATTAGTCGAATTGCTGGCCTCTTTTATTTCCGGCAGGTTGAATCATGACGTTGGGAATTTGGACGTGAACTTAAATAAACTGTGGATGTATATTATACATTATTCTTCAAGTGAAAATTTTGATGATAATTTATTTTACTTAGCAGAAATCTTTCTATCAATCTTCTATCTATCTTTTAATGGTTTTCGAGGCATTTAAAGCATAAATATAAGATTATCTCTCAATAATAAATAATTCTCCTTTATTGAAAAAAAGAGAAATAGAGGAACATACAAGGTAAGGGATGAGAGGGGTCGACAAAGAATCAAGCAACGAGGTTTGGTAACACGATTGACTTTTATTACATTTTTTTCCATTTTTTAGAACTAAATAACATAAACGCATATTTCTGGTTAATTCACTTCTTGTTTATTTATTACTCGTAGTATTACTATCGGTATTAAGAGCTAATAACGACGAGGCGCGCCCCTAAAAATGTTTTCCCTCCCTCGCGTGGTTTCGTTCGCTTTCAATTTTATTGATTTTTTTTTCTATTTTACGTTTCGCGCGTGGCTTTTGTTTCCGCTTTTCGTTCGTCTCAGTTTGCTTCTTGTTCGTATTATTGTGTTGTCGTTCCTCCTCTCCCGCCGTGAAAGCCGGAAAGAATTATTCTTTCCCTTACTCCGTGCGACGCAGGAAGAGGAAAGCTCGATTTTATCCGTTCTCTTTCACGTTCGCCCCGCTGTTTCCCCTTTTCTCACCTCTCTCGTTTCGTTCGCCGCGATCCCGTTCCCGCTTCGTTAACGTTTCACGCTCGAGCGTCGCGTCCCGGGGCTCCGAGCGACCGAACGCGCCGCGATTTTCCATGAAAATTCGACGGGAGGTTCTCCCCGTTCGGGAAACAATTTCCCTTCGGCTCGCCCGCGTTCGCCGCTCGAAGGGTCCTGGAAAGGGACGGACGCGGGATCTAGAATTCCATGCATTTTTCACGAGCAACCAATGCCCCGGACCAGAGACGGGCAGTGTTTTATTTAAATAATGCCCGCCGGATGGTGTCTCGCGCCAGGAGTTTCTTCCTGCCGCTTAATCCATCCAGAAACAGGATTTTTCTTGAATAATACAGACTTCTCACTGCTACACCGTAGAATAGACGGAAGAATCTATTATTACATTCAAATTATTCGATTATTTCTCCTCAGCTTTTCGTTCTAAATAAAAGAGGATCCTTAAATTTCTAACGCAGCTGAGTTTTAATGCAAACCGTCGAATAAGTCGGTTATTCAGAAGAGATGTTATTTCACTTTGTGATTAATATTCTTCGGTTCGGTGTAAAGTTTCGAAGTACTTCGTTATTATATTGAAAGTTTTTAATACTCCGCTAACGCGATTTTTATTGATTTCAACGCGTTTGTCGGAAGATGGTCTTTCGTTAACGGTAACTGGATAAAGAGAGGAAAGTTCAGCTACCGGGGCTTCTAATGTTTTATTCGTGCCCCGAAAGGTTCCCTTTAACCTGCGGGTTCACCCGTCTCTGGCCGGGACAACGTGTCCAGGGCTGGTTTCACCGTGGGGCTTGCAACCCCTTCCATTCGCGGGCACAGCTACGAAATCGTGTGTCGCACAGTCGTGTCGTATTGTTTGCCTGTGTGGAAACGGTGCTCCGGTGATTATTAACCTTTCACTTGGCACGGTGAACTTTGTTTCGAACGTTCCCTCGCATGCATACCCTTCCTGCCTCAATTACCAAGAAGTATGTAATCACCCTCGATCGACAACGAAATACGCAAGAATTCATTGAATCGCTTTAAAGTTCCACTGTCATTCAAAAAACATTTTCCAATTGAACGGAATTTCTCAAAATTTCTATAAAAATATCAAACTGCGGGTATCAAATTTCATTTTCAAGTAATCATATCTCTCTTTTAACTCGAAGATCAGCATTCCAACATCCATTTCTTAGGTTTATATGAAAAAACAAATAGAAAAAGATTCGAATGCAAGTGGTGCGCTCATAGGTTCTTTTTTGGCAAGACGAAAGGTTAATTTCCACGAGAACACGAGTGTCGATGTGTTCGTGTACCATGTGTCCGTGTACATCCCGTGAACAAGTGGTCGCTTAACGTTCTAGGTTACTTCAGTGTTCATATCAATGTATGCGTGTACGTATACATATACATATATATATATTGTACATAATCTAACAACAATGTAGTATTATCATCATCAATCGTCGACCAATCCGGCGTTTGTCGTTCCATCGCGCCTCTTTCAAACGCCACGCAACATTCCACGCTCAACAACAAACTCGTGCGCGTGTCCCGGTCGCTCGGCCGCACTACGCGCGCATTAAATCCTACGAAATCTTCTCCTTCTTCGTCTTCTTCACCTCTCGCCATTGGTGTCATTCGTTTCTTTAGAAAAAAAAGGAAAAAGAATATTCTACTTTCTTTTTATCCAGCGAGCAAGCTTCGTGCGATCGTCTTCTCCTGTTCGTGAGCTTCTCGCGCAGTGACGAATTTGTTAAACAATCGACACTCCTATAATCTACTGACCAAACATAAGATTCCCCAGTTGAATTTTTGGAACATCATAGAATCGTTCCAAGAGGAACAATTAGTTGTAGTTAATATAGATTATCTTCCTCAGTGGAATATTCGATTCAAACGGTAGAATTTGTAGGGAAATAAGTTTCTTAATTCCGCGAATAAGTGAAATGAACATTCTTTCCCGTTGAATCGAGTGAAAACTTTCGGGAAATCCGTCGCTGCGTCTCGTTTCGTACCGTTTCCCGTGCTTCGAACCTTCCGCGAGATGTTTCGGTCCTCGCTTCACCCTACAATCGATCAACGATTACGATAATTGGTCGATGCGTGAGCGTGCGACACGCAAATTCGAAGCCCACGGTTGCTCCGCCATCTTTTCTTCTCGTTTTTTATTTTCGTAAAAGTTTTCGGTAACCGTAAAGGGAACGCCGAAATGTATTGGGTCGATGTTTCGTTTGTTGCTTTCGTCCGCTTGGTTCGTCCGCGTCGCGCTCCCTTTCAACTCGCCGACGATCATAATCGTTACGTTGACTCTTTCCATTCGCCGGCCACGTGAACCGATTAATCCGCTCCACTCGTCGACGCGTTGCTCGTCCGACCAAGGACTTCTTGCGCGAGGAATGCGCTTCGCAGTTCAACAACGCATCGCAAATTCATGTCGCATCGAGCAAGAAGTCCCGAGTAACAATCTCCGAACCGATTCCGTCGGTTATCCAATAGAATTCTATCGCGTCCCCCCCGGCGTCAAGTTACCTTTAGGATTCTACACTTTAGAAAATGCATTTTTAAGAGCATCGAAACGTTGGTACTTTCGGAATAAAAGAATCGTTCTAGATTCTACCAATGGAATAGGAACACACGAGCCGTCGTTTATCACAGAATCTATTCTTCCCATTTTTCTCACGGATTACTTTTATTCAATATTACGTCGTCGTTTTCGAAGTAAAAATTGGCAGCCAAAGTGTCGAGATATTCCTTTAATTCGTACTGCACCGATTTGCATCGTCTAATTGTTCGTTTCTTCAGGATTCTATGAATCTGAATGAACTTTCTTCGAGTTTTAATTAATCGAAACTGCTCTACGTTTCTTCGAGTACGCTACGCTTATAAAAAATGGCGTTTTTTTGGAGCGTGAAACCGGCACAAGTGGCCAGCGATCGAGATCGTTGACGGGCCGAGTGCGACGCGGTGTGTCTGGTGTGAGTTTCCCCTTTGCCCCAGTGTTTGTTCCATTTTTTTCCGTTTGCTTCTCGTAAAAGACACATATTAGTAGTAGTAAATTACAGGCATCTAGAGTATTGCTTCTCGGTTCAACGAATTCGCGAAGATACCGGGCACGGTACAAGCGTGATCGAAACCTCGTTCCAAAATGGCCGATGACGCAACGCTGCCGCTCGATTCCGCTGAGACAACGATCCTAATTAAAACTCGACGAACGAACATTCCAAAAGGCAAAACGATTTCTTCGCAATCACGGAAATTTCAAAATTCCCGCCCCCAAATTTCCAAAGATAGTATCGAAATGAACACCGTTTTCATTATAAAACCTCATCCCGGAATCTCAATTTCAATTTTCGATTTGGTAATTGGCAAATTAGAAACGAACGCGTTAATCAAACGTGTTTTATAAACGTTTGCTCCGAACGCAATTAATTAGAACCCAGATTGCTCGAGTGAACGTTCGGCGGTATGGAGTATTCGTTAATTACGTTGATTACCGAAATGTTCGCGAAAAAATCGGGAATCTTAATTAGTTGATCGTCGAAATATTGATTAATATTCTAATTATAGAATTCTTCGTCGAACGGCAGCGCGAGCGTCACGGTTCGCAGCAACGCAGCTCTCGCTCGCAAAAATCGCACAAAAGTCCGCTCGAAGGAATACCGGCGTCGCGCAAAAATCACCGAAAAATCCGCGACGAATGGCAGCCGCTGAAGGGAAAATCGTTTTTCCCGCGTGTCGTTCGTTCCCTCGGGACTCTCGCCGATCTCCCTTTCCCTCAACCCTCAGAATCGTCGTGTCCTCCGCGCTCTCTTGTATACAAAGCTAACTTTCTACTTACTTTTTTGTTTTAAACATCGTGGGTTTCATTTATTTCGCCCCGTTTCACGTGGTTCCATTAACCCTTCTATACTCAAGAAACCGATCAATCGTGTTTCATCGGCCAATGAATTAATTACAACCCCGATTCGCGAGCAACTACATTCGCGCTGTTAACTATAATCTCGATTCGCGAGTAATCGCTGTTGTTTTCGATCGTCATCTTGATTCGCGAGCATATTTATCGACAGATTTCAAAGAGATTCTCCCTTAGATCGGAAGAAACGGATGTCGAAACCGAATTTCTATGAATTTCAATTTTCTCTGATTTTTGAAAGGTCGGAAGACCGAGTTGTTGAA